TGTGGTTGAAGAGCAAGTTCAACAATCTGTGGAGATGGCCACTCGGCGATCTTGGGCAGCAAATGTCGAAACGATGGTTGGAAGTCAAGAGCCGGGAAGCACTGCAGTTTGGGCATCTGTACTCCAGGATGAGTGATCACAGCCCACCAACGTGTTCGCTTGGCCGGCCAGAGTTCATGCAGGTGGCACAGTTGTTGTTGAAACGTGTATCCAGCGGCCTGGCAAAAGGACTGCAATGTATCTTGTACCCATGGCGAATGGAGCGCCTCCTTGGTGCATTCCAGAATCATAGCTACCGGCTGGTACAGGTAGCATGCTGATACCATACCTTCGAAGCTTCGAGCTCTTGGGTCATATTGTTGGCGTCCGTCCCCCAGTTGGGAAAAAGGTTGGCATGCAAAACCTCCGGTTATGATACATGGGTCCTTGGTATATGGCAGCAAGGCCAATTTGACTTCAGTGCTATCGATGTCCCCAGCAATGACTGTCTGTCGGCGAGCACGCAACCAATTAACGTACCTGTCGTTGATCTCAACATGGCAACGGACTTTGCTTCCAATCAGGTGGTAACCAGCAGTCATGATGCCGTAGCCTGAACAGATGTCGATGACTTCTGTGGATCCTGTTCGATCGATCATGCCATGAATCAGTGTGGTCGAGTTCGTGGCAGCCAAAACAACCGTTCCTTCTTCCATCGTTTTGTCCGCTGAGAAGATGGTGAAGCGGTCTCCCTTCAAATCAACTCCAGCCAACCGAAAAACTTGCCCACGGAGCGCCGTCGTGCAGTGGTAGACGGCTCTATGGGAATCTCTATACCAAGCTCGCCCGGCTATATGGATCTTGGATCCATCCTCTATCTGCCCCAACCATGGCTCGGGGTCAAAGTAGGCCATCCGCGCCCCCCCCGAGTGCTCGGCCCGCACCGGCACACCAGCTGGTAGGTGACTCGGGCCCGTGCCTAGCGATGGCCTCCAACCTAAGAGCGATGGCCTCCAACCTAAGAGCGA